TAGTCAACTATTACTTATAAATAAATATGGTGACACTCTGTATTCTTAATCCGTCACCACACGGACGTCATTTATGATAGCGTTCAATAGTATTTATCGATGCAATTCCATTTACAATGTCTTAATTAAATTAATTAATTCTTGGGAAGGAGGCACTTGAAGGGTGTCAACACACGTTGTGTCTTTGTGTCTCTAGGGTAGCAAGTGTCCATGAGTGGCGTTAGTCACCTTTTATCTACTCATCATCATCATCATCATCATCAACAGCCTTTGGTTTGTTTCCCATCTGACTCATCTGCTCGTTTCCCCTATTCCATGAAAATAAATTATACAAGTTTGGTCCGGCCATTTATCTCTGAATTTTAAAAATAAATGTTTAATTAGACTTTCAATGTCAGAAAAGAATACTATCATGACGTAATCATGTCAGAAAATTCTATAAACAACTGTCGGCAACATTGTTAGACTTTGAACAACCATGTTTTATAGTATCTTTATGTTTAGTTTGCATATCGATTCAAACAACATTTATGAGTATGCGAAAAAGCATGCAACATAGTTCATTTTGTCTATCTATACTTATGTTCTGTATTGAAAATTTATTGGTCAATATGAATGTAATAAAAGTATGCAAACATTTCAAATTGCTTTTATCCAGTTCTGTGAAATGTTATATTTCACTTTTCTACACAATCGCGTATAGGTATTTAGGTATGACTTAAATCAAACAACAATTAAGCGTAAAGTAAATCCTATTTAAAACAAAGGGACTTACGACGCTGTATAATGATCCGTCTGATGTCAATAAGTACAACCAATTTGTGTTTTTTTTTACCTACGGTTATTCCAAACCAGTCTTACCTCCAGACCTTCTAAAGAAGATTGTACTCCCACCTTACAGATCGGCCGCACAATTATGACTCTTGAGTACAAATGTCCATGGCAGATGTAGAGTCTTGACATCCGAATGTTTGTTTTCCACCTATATCATAAGAAAAAGAATTGGATGGCTTATGACCCCCTTAGTATCATTGTTACCTACGTGTTCATTGTTACCCGAATAATGACCGTTATCTGTACTTTGAGTGTTACATCTACGGCGACTGTTGACACCTTTATGATGACTCTTACCCCTATGATGCTTACTACGTATATGATGATCATTACAAACTTTTTTTTACACGCTTTATATTAGCTTCACTTGTATGTTTGTTTGTATGTTTGTAACCGACTCCTTTGGGCGTGATTTTGAATGTTTTTAAACGGTCAGAATTCGTTCAAACTTTGTAGATATATCGAGGACCGATAACAATACACTAATTTAAAAAAATATATTATAGTTTTAAAAAACTAAAAAACACGCCTTCCATAGAAAACCAAACTAAAAAATTGAAAATAAATTTGAAAAAAAGCGTGGGGTGCTTTTTACTATTGACAACAGGCACCCAACGCCTTTTTCAAATTTATTTATCTTAGTGAAACTTACGGCTACATACAAATAGGTACACAAAAAAGATCAATAAATGCCAGTAACAAGCTTCCAGAATTAGTCTGCAAAAGATACCATATCTTTGAACAGCTTAAGCACAGTTAATTTTAAGAATGAGTATTTAACAGATGGTTTCACAATAGTAGTATCGATTATGCATACATTATCAACAAAGTATTTAGTGAAACATGATTTGGATGGATGTTTGCCGATAGTAAAAAGATCAAAATAACTTTCGACACTCAATTTATTTAATTCATTGAATACGAGACGATGGTTTATACAGCAAGATTTTACGTAAATTTCTAACTGTTATTCTTATCTTTGTTTTCGATGGAAGTTCAAGACAGTCGATCTTACCCTCAGCAATGTTGAGAAGAAAAGTCATGTCTGCAAGTTTTCATCTTTCATGTAAAGGTAGATTCTGCAATTTAATATAGCGCTGCTCATAGATGAGGTCGGCTAGTTGGCATAATTTAAATTTAAAACCTAAGCATCGAATACATTTTCTTTTAACCTTCTCGATCTCATTAGAGTACAATGCGTAGCCCGGACTCCAAATCTGCAAAGCGTAATCTAGGTGACTTCGTATAAAGTAAAAATAAGGCATTTTAGGGGTTTTCATATTTTTGAAGTCATTTGAACACCGAATCAAACCTGACGTTCCAAACGCTTTGTTGACTACTTCGTTAACATGCTGATCAAATGAAAGATTGCTATCGTACACCACACCCAAATCTCGGGCAACAGCCCTCCTCTCTTGTTATGGTTTTTGATTGCATAGTCAAATCTAATTTCTTGACGCTTACGTGTAAGACTCGTATAGAAACATTTAGAAGCATTCAGATCCAACTAATTATAATAATAATATAAATCGATGGAGAGTTGGAGATCCGATGCATTCACATTTATGATGGACTTACACCACTTAAATAATTTGAATCTCGGCACCGATGTTTCAAGATTTTTAGAAATAATTGAAATTTTAGTAACTAATCCGCAACGGTTCCTGGACTGGTTCCTTTTTAAGTCGTTTAAGCCATATTTTAACTTAATTACGACAATAATTGTTATCTTATCTTTTATTATACCTATTAAAAAAAAATCGGTTGTCTGTAAAGTCGGTTTACTGACGATAGTTGAACGTGACAACGTCATAAGAAAATACTGATGGAATGGTTGCATTTTTCAAAAATGTATTATTGTATACGAGTAGCAGCTGTCCACGCGGACGCATCGCTCACTCAAGTAGGAGAGAGACAGATATCGAACGCTGCCGAACGCGTAGGCCGATAGTGCCTCTTTGTCGCTCGTTCCGCGCTCTCGCTTGCACTTCACGCCTTAAATGGAACGCCTCAGAGCGAGGTAACGCCGCATGAGTCATGTTTTTTCGTGCGTGCAGCCGGCTCCATCAAATTATAAGACGTTGTCACGTCAAAAAAAGAAGAAAAAGAAAGTTCAGGATGTTGATTATTTTTTAGTTTAAGTTTAGGCATGAGGATGTTTGTGTCAGTAGTTTACATTAAACCATTGAGATCTACAATGTAACTTAGTTGAATTTGATGCTAAATTCTGATTCGTTTAATTTTGAGGTGCAATAAAATTTCTCTAACATCATCATCATTTAATGCACTTTTCTCAATTTTATTTAGTGTCGGCGCAATGTGCAATGTTATGGCTGATTTTCATTGTAGCTTGTTATCTACCTGACATAAGTCCTTTTAGGAATTGTAATCGTCTTCAAAAAAGTACTGTTCATGGGACATGGGATAAACTCACGGTCATGTCTAGCGGCAACGTACTCTTGAGTTGCAAGGTGACCCGTGTGCTCATCAGCCCTATACCATAAAAGAAAAAAAAAACGAAATCCTTAAATTACATTTTTTTATTCACTTCCAATTTTTCTCTTCTGACATAAAACAAACAGACAGTATACAAAGCCTATTTACATTTTTATATAGTAGTTATTGACACTGTACTAAGGCGAGAACACTAATGTATATTATTTATAAAATAAATACTGCTCATGGCCTACTGTTAATTTTATACTTAATTATTATTTACAGAAGAGTTTTACAAAAAACAGTAATGGGAATATGGCAAATTATTTCACAATACTAAAATAATGCTATTTTTGTATTTCGAAACAATTAATAAAAAAAACTTATTTATTTTAATTATAACAAGTATTTTATATTTAATTATTACATGTAGAGCTAAATTAACTTTGAACATAAACCGTAATAAAGTAATCTAATTAGAAACATACACATTTTTATAGGTATATTTAGCCTAAAATACATTTTCTATTATTCAAAGTCGGCACATTATACACATCAAAGAATTTATTTCTATAAAACGATATTGAGAACAAATAATTTGCACTTTCTACGATGATATATGTTTTACAATTCTTAACTAATGTTATTTCACTTTTGTCTTTCATCATTTTGCAATAACTTTTAATTAATTAATAAATGTTTGTTACACGTTACCATTACTTTAAGCATCTAAAATAGATAATTTGGTTAACTATTACAGGATTTATTTAGAAAAAGAATCAGATTTTGTATTTAAAATATTTTTTTTATTATTATTTTGTTTACTGTAGCATCAATAACCGAAATAACTTTTATAAATATTTGTAACAATAAAATAAGGTTAAGTTTTACAAAATCTGAAGAATTTCTTTAATACACAGACACAGAGACATTAAAAATTTAGACAGTTAACACTACAACGGATTAGGCCCGCGCTTTTACTATACAAATGTTACTTTAATTGACTATATCCAACGCTAGAAAACTTTAGCTGGGCTCGTGGCTAAAAGCTTTGAAGCGTAAGGTTGTGTATGTGACCCTGAGTAAGTTACTTAACCGATTTCAAGAATTTCTTCATTTTACTTCACATTATTTATCTTGCATAAAAATAATGTAAAGAAAAATATTATTTAGACACGGTAGATTTATGATTATTTTGAAACTTTTAGAAGTAACAGGTCATTGTCACACACAATACTATCTTAATTTAATACATTAAAAATACTTTATTATAATATTTATTTCTTATTACATCTACAAATGTTTAATTTATTTACTAAAATATCTCTAACATTAATTATTTGTTTAATTAAAGCAAACACTATTATCTCTAATTAATTTTAGCACTTAGAAATATGAAGAGACTTTTATTTAACTTTTACATTTACATGTTCTAACATTTTATTGTCAGTTCTGAACGTTCAAATAAATTATATTATAAATATAACTATTGAAATTATTTACATAATATCATTAATTTGCTTTCATAAAGCCAAAATCCCTACACATTTAATACGGTTAAACTACACCACTTCATTTCTATACATTGAAAGCTTTAACGAAGTCATTATAAACGGGTATTGTCTTGGAGTAATAAACAATTTTTCCATGAAAATTGTGCGCGTAACATTCACAAATGTAATCTTAATCGAGTCCTTTGTTTACGCGTTCCTGTGACCAACATACATGGACTAGGTGATGTGAAAATCACCCCGGAGGAGTCTCGTGAAGGTCTTCTTGAATTGCTGATTCGCCAACGCGTAGCAGAAAGGGTTGATCGGACTATTAGCATAACATAGGAAGTACGAGAACATATACAAATGTTTGTTAATACACGGTGGATCTGTACAAAAACCTTCTACCAATGCAAGTACGTGATAGGGAGTCCAACAAACGACGAACGCACCCAATATGAAAGATATAGTTCTAAAAGCTTTTCTAGCTCGGTTTTCTGATTTAGATTTCTGTCGTCCGATACTTTGGAATAGGCCGTCCCGCTTTGAACGTTTAACTTTTAATTTTTTTCCTATGTTCTTCACAAACTCTTTCTTAGAATCACCGCGGCCTGACCCAGTTACTACAGTACTTGATATTTCGCTGTTTTCAACGGCTGGACTTATAGCGGGATTTAGTTTTAGAGGAGATATTTTTGTCTCCGTTGCTTTTAGCGGTTGAGGCTCATTGTTATTGGAAGACGATGATACGAGAGTAATAACTGGTTTTGAACGTTCTCCAGATGTTAAACTTACTTCGGTGTTTAGTTTGCCTGGAGGTGGCGAGGAGAAATTAGTTTTGGGTTGTGTTACTTTAGCTTCGGCAGTTGCTCTAATTAAAGCAGCTTGCAACAAGGACGTGTTGGTTACGTTACCTGAATTCAAAGTTGGTGGAGACGAGGGTTCAGTTGCAGTTGGAAAAGTGACAGAAGAAGGCGGACTTTCATAAGTGGGAGAAGGTAAAATAACTGAGCTTTCATCCATATACCTTAAATCTGCACCATCCATACCCACTAAAACATCGTAAGAAGTTCCATCACCTTTTACAAGTCTTACAGTTTTTGTTCGAGAAGATTCGGATTGAGATGGAGGACTTTCAGACACAGCTGGACTACAACGAAATTCTGAAGGTGGTGGAATAATCCTTTGAGCAATTGTTGTTGTTACTTCTCTGTGTTCTAAAGGAGTGGCTATGCCTGATGACACAGGAGACATAAAACTAGCCGTAGACTGAGCCATTGTTTGTGCTTGTGTGTTTTCGTTACTTTGTGTGTCAGGATTGTCCGTGTCAAGCAAACTCTTTTCTGATATCAGTGATAACGATGTTTTTGGCTTATCCGTATCATGATTCAATATTGGAGACTGCTTCGTTACATCTGTTTTGATCATCATACCTCCATTTAAACGCATGTTATTCAACAATTGCATTGCACCAGTTTGCATCACTAAGTTTGCCACCGAAGGTCGTTTTTTAACATTTGTCTGTGTAGTGCTTTCTTCATCTGAATCAAATGCAGGGCTGCTCGATCTTTCAGCTTCTACTTGATCCTCTTTCTTATCTCCTTCGGATTCATTTGTAGTTGAAGTACCAGTGACAGTGGCACTACTTTTATGAGCTGAAGACTTTTGACTGGAATTTGAGTCAGTAGAACCGCCTAAATTAAGTAAAGGTGCAGCTAGCGACCCTTTTGAAGTAGAATCTTTACGGACTGTTTCAGAAACTTTTATTTGATCCTCACTAGATATTGTGGCTTTAGATAAGTTTGCCATGCCAGCAGCTCGGCCAGCCATTCCTTGCATTACTCCAGCACTTAAAGCTACCATTGACTGCATTTTCCGTTGCTTAGCTTCACTCTTTTTTTGCATATCATAAGCTGTTTTGAATATACCAGCATATAAGACAATTAATACGAAGAGAGTAGTCCAATAATAACCTATGATTAAAGCTGTATTAAAAATCGGATCTTTCAAAAACTGTACAGCACATTCGCCTTCTTGTAAATCTCTATAGCCAACAAAATGTTCCCAACCAAATATTGTTGTGAAGAACAGTAAAGCTGGTATAATCCATGTCACGGTGACCATCCAGATGACTCGATTTTTTGTTCGCCACGCTCTATATCTAGCCGCAATTTTCACGCTGCAGAATCTGTCTACAGTAATCAGAAGAACGGTGTACTGTGAGACAAGACATACAGTGTAATCGACAGACAACCAAAGGTCGCAAAGCAAGGGTCCTAAATGCCAATACCCCTTTAAAACGTAGTCTGTGTAGAACGGCAGCGACAGAGTACCTGCAGACAAAGGAAAATATTTGTCTATTTATTACTGTCGTCAATATCAGGTTTCAAAATGTTAAAGGCCAAGTGTCTCACGTTAACAATGGCCCTTAGCGACAAATAATAACAAGGAGTATATTTCAAACGATTATTTTAAAACTCTCAAAAAAGTGGAAATTTAGAAAAGAAAATTATTCAGGTAGTGTTCAGTTAGTGACAAAATATTAAACAACTACGTTGTTTACAGGAAAATATGATTTAAGTATGTTATTTAACCTGAAAAATAATCAAACCATGATCATAAAAATGATCTTGATTGGTAATCTGAGACTGTAACAAAGTTTTGGATCTCCTTTTAGCATCTGAAGTTCTCACCAAGATAACAATTTTGAACACCAAGAAACAAATTGACTATTTTTTTTCTATATGGGCTATATAATTTAATTGGTTTTAAATTTCTCCCGGCTTTTTACTTTTATAAAAGAAATGTATACTCCAAACTTGTACAAACAATGTATTTCAACAACATTGACTAAACAATAGCGTCAGTTTTAATTGCTTCAACTGAGACTTGATGGTAGCGGGTATACAAACGCTGAATGCACAATACTTCCTTTTATTGACTTTTATTTTTCTTTGTTTCATTCTTATTGTTTGCTTTACGAATAGGAGCATTGGGTTCTAGCAACACTGTATTATTGTGATCGATTTGATTCAAGTGAGGTCGAGTCATTAATATCTTTATATTTTTCGATGTTGTTGGGTCAATGACATTAAAATTTTGAATTTCGAATTTCATTTTGCTGACTTTTTCATTACACTACTCAACTAGAATTAAAAAATAAACTTAATTTGAAACTACGTATAGGGAGGTAATGAGTTTTAAATTCACTTCAGTAATATGGATTTTACTTTTTGTTTAATACATCCGATTTTTATTTAACTTGAGAATTAAAGAAAACACAAAAACAGCTGCGTGTGATGATGATGATTAAAATTTAAAACAAATAAACACTTTACACTGAGATAAATAAATACAAACATATTATTTTAATGAAATCTTTTGCCTCTCATTATAAAATACTGTCGAACCGACACAGGTTCGTCTTAAGCGTTGTAAAATTAGATTAATGATTAAGGGTAAAATATCAATTTACTTATAACACGTTTAAATATTTTCCTTCTAATTTAAATATTTGTGAACAAAAATAATGGTCGAAATTTAATATTTACCGTTATGAAACAATGTATTTAGAAAATATAAACGAAATGAGGAGCCTAAAAGAAATCGTATTACAACTTCCTTCAGGCAAAGCACTTCGTTATTAGGTAATTTGATCCTGGCCAATATTGCTTATATATGTATATCGGCATTAATAAAAAAAAAATATCTTATATTTTATACATTTCTCTTAACTGATTTGATTAAGTTCTAATTTTATTTTTTTAACCGCTACCGGTACCACCGCTACCGCTACCAAAAAATGCTGTCTATGGAAATAACACGGAGCATGCTTCTCGCGTGAACTTCAGTTGGTGCCACGCGTTTGGATAGTTTAGACATGTAAAGTCAGTATAAGTGTTTTTTACCCAGTAGCGACTTACATGCATATTTAATACGAGTAGATTTTAATGACTTACGAGACTCCACAATAAAATGATTTCTTCAAAATGAGGATAGCGAAAATGAAGTCTCAGAAACAGAACAACAATACATAATTGTTACTAATATAGAGTCTACTTTGTGGATGATTTATGGGTCACTTATTCTGCATCTAATATCTAACAAGATACAAGCCTCTGGTTATTTTCTATGGTATATTGAATATGGGAGGCATTAATGATTATGTAAAAGCTGATTCTGAACGACAAAATAGGGCCACCAAGGCATCAGTTATTCCTTGGTGATTCCTTGGTCTTGAAAGAATTAGCATTGAACCTCGTAACACCACAAATAAGGAAAACAGCTACTACAGCTAATTTGCTAACTTATGTAAAAATGAAATTATCATTGACGTTTGATGATGATAAGGAAGATCAAAGTGATCAACCACGTCCATTCGAGCCATCAAGAACCAACATAATAATTATGTTCGTGCTGTTACTCAGTATGCTCATCTAAATAGGTAAGAAAACTAAAACATCGTGTAAGTTTAGCTTTAAAATGATTATGTCGCCAACATGTCATCCCTGTTTTTGAGGAATGTTATCAAAAAGTAATAAAAATTAATAAGTATAATAAACACAGATAAAGTGATTCTCAATTGCCTAAAACTAAATTGCCAAAATTTATAGTATCTAAAACTAAACTGCTAAATCTTCAATTAATCAATTATATAAGTAATTGTTATGTTATGTTGATTGTTTCTTTATAAGTAAGACAATATTATATTATTTTGTGATTGATCTTAATTTAGTAGTATTACAAAGTTTAAATCTATTTATTTCTCTAAGATCATAGATTTAAGAAAAATACTAGCTAGCTAGTTAATTCAGATCCGTTATTATTGCATTCCATATCTGAATGTCTTAATAATTTATATCTGTAAATGACTTATTGAACCACTAGACTGGTTAGTGCTCCTGACTGCTTAGCCGGAGGTCATGTGTTCAAATACCATCTAGGACAGATATTGTGTAATAAACGCTACCATTTGCTCTATGTCTGGGTGTTATTATTTATCTATAATATGTATGTAGTCCGTGTGGTGACGAATTAAGAATACGGAATGGGACCACCCTTACTTATCCGTGGATGTCGTAAGAGCCGACTAAGGGAGCAAACTACGCAGGACAACAGCACTGCAAAGAGAAGGAAAACTTGAAACGAACCCTATATCAACCCGTCTGGCCAGCGTGGTATAGTACCAACCAAAACCTCCTATCTAAGGAGAGGATTATGTCCAGTAGTGTACTGTTATAGGCTGTTGATGATGATGATTGATGATGATGTATGTATTTAGAAATATATAAGTATGTTTATCAGCTGTCTGTTTACACTACCACAGGTTTCGCCTAATTTGGGTTCCGACGGCAGTGTGTGAGATGTGTCAAAATATAATTATTATTAATGTTAGATTTCTTACCAATCAACAGATCCGTAGCAGCAAGTGAGGCTATGAAATAATTACTAGGCTGTCGGATCGTCCTGTCCACCAGGAAGGCCAGGAGTACGAGTACGTTCCCACTGACTGTTAGCAAGATGACCAGGACGAGGCAGGTCGCAAAGATGGCCGCCAGCCACAGAGGAAACGGAGGAAGAACTGGTTGCTGCAACAAAACTAGTTATCATGAAAATGGTCAAGAATATATTCGTCGATTTATGTTTTGAACAGCTATCAAATATATGGCTTCTTTATTGTAAGAGGTTATACAGTTCTATGTGAACTTACAACTTGTGAGTTATCTAGTTCGACGGTCTGTTGGTCTAGTGGTTAGTGACCCTGACTGCTAAGCCAGAGGTCGTGGGTTCGATTCCCACCCGAACCCAAATATTGTGTGATAAGCACGGTCATTTGTTCTGTGTCTGGGTGTCATTTATCTATAATATGTATGTTTTTTTTAAATATATAAGTATATTTATCAGCAGTCTGGTTACCATAGTACAGGTTCTGCCTAGTTTGGGATCAGACGGCCGTGTGTGAGATGTGTGAGATATTATTATTATTTCTTTATTTCATTCTTTATACATATAAATTACATTTTTAAATATATTTATATACAAAAACAAAAAATAAAATACATTTAAAAATATAAAAAATAGTATCCCATCGGTATCGGGTACAGAGACCAAGATATCGGTGGTTAGGACTCCAGAGACAGAAACTTCCTCACAATACGTGCCGTATCGAGAAGAACTGCTTTCTGCATCAGACCCTTAATCCAACTGCCTAACGCGAGCCTCTGAAGATGTTGGTCGAGGCTCTTAGCAACTAATCCATGGGCCGAAATGACTATCGGTACAACGATTGCCGAATCAACATCCCACATGTCGACAATCTCGTGGGCTAAATCCAAATACTTCACTTGTTTATCTTTTTCAGCTTTCAAGAGATTGTCGTCATGTGGAATGGTAATGTCAACAATCATTGCTCGACGCTCCAATCGGTCTATTACCACTATATCAGGTTTATTGGCAACTATAGTCCTGTCAGTGATAATAGGGCGATCCCAGTACAACGTTGCACGACCATTTTCAAGAACTGGGTCGGGCACATATTTGTAGTACGGTAACTCTACAGTCACAAGGTTATACTTAAGAGCAAGTTGCTGATGGACAATCCTGGCCACTTGGTTATGTCTATGCAAGTACTCGCCGTTGGCAAGACGAGAACAACCGGAAATTATATGTCTAAGGCTTTCACCAGGACAATGACATGCCCGACAAATGTCTATTGTGCCGTCCTTCAGGATATACTTCCGATAATTATTCGTCATAACAACTTCATCAGTAATTGCAAAGACAAAACCTTCAGTTTCCCCGAAGAGGTCACCGAATCGAAGCCAGAATACAGACGCTAGTTGATCCACCTCAGGCCTGTTCAAGGCTCGATAAAAACGTCCATGCAGCTCTTTGCCCTTCCATATCTCCTTACGATCAGTAATGTTGAGTACTGCAAATTTGCGCCAGTTCTCTTTACCTAGACCAAGCGGAGTAAGTCCGTTATCAACTGCTACTACATCCCTATGCATATCCACATCAACAGTCAGGAAGTAATTCCTAAGGTTACATATCTCACGATTGTGGAGGGTCTTGGCATTTAGAAAACCACGACCACCACATTTTCGTGGAATATATAACCTCATCACCGATGAACGTATTATTATTATTATTATTACCTAACTCGCTCATAATAATCCAGCAAATTTAAACGCTTTGCTTAAACTAGTATTAAGCATTGGTCTTTTGCGACTCTAAGGCACTTGTGTTTTTGGGTCCAATATAGCTTTTTTATCTTTTTGTATGTAATGTTTTTATTTCAACTACCGCCGCTCATAGACATTTGTAATTCACATGATACAAGTGTGTTGTCACCATTTGTGTATCTTCAGTATTAGTGAGGGGGGTTCGAGCCTCCAGTAAAGACAGAATTGCTTTTCATCGATTTTTTGTGAGGTTGTGCCGTCGTGGTATCATTCCGGTTGTGCCGGCACATTTGTGCCGAAACGAAGCATGATTCTCCCACAGTATAATGTTCTTCTTAATAATATTAATATGGATTATAATGTAATTCAATCTAATAATAATAAACATTTATATGCGAATATGGATACAATAGTAAAGTTGTTACAAAGATTATTTTTGGTCCTCCATATTCCACCTTGTGGCATGCAAATATTTCACTATACTTTTTTTTCTATAACAATTTTACTAAAACATTTTAAAACATAAACTAAACATAATTCATAAGTCACATCTATATAAAAATTTACACGAATGAAATATCAGAATTTGTGTCTAAAAAAAGAATAATTATGATATCAATTAAATAGTAGATCATGAGTCAAATTAACTAAATTGTAGTAGATAGAATTTAGATTAGAAAATTACATTGCTTATATTAGATATTTGTCTTCTTAGTATTCATTAACATGTGGTACCTATATTTTTTGTAGTAATATAATTTTTAACTACAATGTAAATTCATATGTGGTATCCAATTTACATATATTCGCAGAAAGTTCGTTGTAAATCGTAGATGACTACAAAATATAAATATATAAATAAAAAATCATATGTCTTCTAGATCCAAATGAAACGTGACAAATAATTAAACTTCACCGCTCAATTTAACGATTGTTGGCGCACCACATGTGAGCTGATCTGAGTTGCTGATCATATAAAGAATTCAATTAATTACTTCAATTTAGTGGCTTCAAAGATATAACTAAAAATATTATGTGATTATAAAATCAGAAAAAAAAAACAAAAAAAAGTTCACATGAAATAATTCACATGATTTACGAGTACATTGTTACAGTGTTTAAATTTTATTGAAAATGAAAAAATAATTATGTAAGAAATACCTGATACACCTTGACTGATGATTGATTCTCATAATTGAGTGCAAAAAATTATTGATAGACGAATCTTTATTAGTTAATGCTATATGTTACTATGTATATTTAATTCCTATACCTGCAATGGAACAATAATCCGAATACTGAACAAACAATGAACTCAATTTCAAAAAGGAGCTTAAATCTGACGAAGGTTTAAGCTCCTTTTTGGCAAACAGCGATTCAGAGACAGTTATCAAAGACTCACAGATTTGATCCAAGGTACATTTTGTACTTTGAAGTGAATTGTGGATATATAAACTTTAGTGAAACCACATCTCTAAAACCTCTCCTAGATAAGAAAGGTTTTTAGAGCAATCTAGGCAGTTACTTTTAGGCTTTTGCCTTTCTATCTTTGAACAACGCAATTCTAATAAAAGCCTTTTAACTGGGTTCAACAATGAGCCTTGAGGATTGATGAAATCTCTTGGATTTAAGAGAGCTTTGTTCAGCATTTGTATGTAGTTGTTAATCTTGAAGTATTAATGTCATACACTTTAGGATGGGTTCTTATTAATATTCAAATAAATTTCACTGCACTAAATATAATATACATATATAATAATAATATATAATATATTTTACTACATTCACACAACGCCATCTAGTCCCAAACTAAGCAGAGCTTGTACTATGGGTACTAGACAACTGATATAAATACATATATTCTTTTTTTTTTGTAAATACATACATATTATACATAGAAACACCCAGACCAAATCAAACATTGAATATTGATGCACACAAATGTTTGACTTGAGCGAGAATCGAACCCGTAAATAAACAAGAAAGGTTCACTAAATATGTATTAGCAACTCAGGTTTGTGGAGGAATGGGTGTCATGTTTCTCCAAAACAAAGGATCCTCCGACCTGGAGAGGTGATCACGCCCAACGGTTGATGTTGAGAAGTTATAATGCTATGCTAATTGACGTGTGAAATTTTTATATCGCGGTACAGGATTAGCAATTAGGTACTCCGTAGTTCGATTTGTCTTCTATATTTATATCATATGAAGTATGTCGCCACAGGTTTAACGACATGCTTAACTATAAATCCGAATGTGGAAAAATACGGAATATGTATGGAAAAAAAATCATAATAACTATAACTAACAGTCGTGTGTAAGATGTACATGGCTGTTTAACTCCAACCTAAGCAGAGCCTATACTATTGTCACCAGACACCTGATAGACATACTTAAGTATTTCTAAACACAAATAATTTACAGATAAATTACATTCAGATACAAAATGAAAAATAATGCTCATTTCAATTTTTTTGCCGGGTTGAAAATCGAACCTACCTTACCTCTGGCTCAGCCAATATCAGCAGTCAATATTACTAACCACTAAACCAATAAGCAGTTGCCTCGAAAATTAGTCTTAACCAATTCTTCTTCATCAAAATTGTTTGACCTAATTTCAAAGCAAAAAAAAACACTCTAGTGTTCAAAAGAAATGTGCAAAAGCGTATCAGATTTCTCCTAAAAGTAGCCCAAAAGTACCCCTTAATTAAAATTTTCCATTCCCTCGTAAAATATACGCAACAACGATCAAAGTACCTACATTCATCGTCCTAAGTTCTTAGATACCAAACCAACTCAGGTGGTATATTGTTCAATGGTGCAGACAGTTAATCAATTGACGTTGCCGACGACTGTGTCACCGCTGCCTACTTGTATGCTTTTGTACTTAATGTAGGACATTTATAAAACAGGTCTACTTTTACATTTCTGTTAACATAAATTTTATGTAATTGTCGACTGAATAGTTTCTATTAAGAACATTATTGATACCTTTATAAATTATCAGTTTAACAAACCAGACATTTAAACTCTTAGAACAATTAAATTTGGAGTGGATTTCAATAACTAGTGTTCATCACATCATCATCAAACATTAACAGCCTATATTAGTCCACTGCTAGACATAGGCCTTTCCTTCAAACGTCTCTTCATACAACAGAATGAACATCACAAAAAGAAAATTACGGTAGAAAATGACCACTGAAAAGCATTAATAAGCAATGTATCAACCTTTACCATTTTTAGAGTTCGGGTTTGTGCAAGCTTATTAGCTTTACAAGCTTTACAACTTAAAAAATAAATAGACCTATTTCTTAGTGTTCCATGGATTCACCGTGGCAACACGTGCGACTTCGACAGCGCCTGGGACTTGGAACCCAGGTATAGGTTTAGGAAGTACTCATTGCGATGCGTCAGCGCTCACCTCCAGTGTCTGCTGTGTTACCCCCTCTACCTAACCACATTTGATACCAAAATTGTACGTAGAGGCTGTGTGTGACGTGTACTCATACTGTAGTATAATTTAATTAATTAACCCGAGTTTGTACCTTGTCAGTAGCTGCAAATAATGTCATTTTCTTTTTGTACGAAAATACCTACTAGCCGTATAAAACTTAACAAATACAATAAAAAAGAATAAATATGAGGTAGGTGAGCTGAGGTGGATGTGAATTTCTTTTAAGGGACATAGTTATGTTTAAGTTTGAAAAAAGTATAATTGCAGTTTTGGCCATTTTCCTTACTCATCATCATCAACAGCCTATGATAGTCTACTGCTGAAGATAGGTATCTCCTTAGACAGGAGGTTTTGGCCTACTATACCACGCTGGCCAGACGGGTCGGTATAGGGTTTGTTTCAAGTTTACCTTCTCTTTGGTGTGCTGTTGTCCTGCGCAGTTTGCTCCCTTATTCGGCTCTTGCGATACCCACGAGATGAATAGGAGTGGTGACATTCCGTATTCTTTTATACGTATTCTTACATACGGATAGACAGATATCTTCCTTACTCATAAGTCTTCAAATAATTTAATCCGAGTTCAATTCAGTTCCTGATTCGATGCCTAATTTTATAGCGCAGATGAATTGATTAAACTCATTTTTATTTATATTTAAACATTTAAAGTTATAACAGTTATTGTCACCTAAATATCCATTATTTGTAACAACAATACATGATATCAATTACGTAATGTTAAATATAACTTGAAATTTAAGAATGATTAATATGCGAACCTTGAGTACTTATTTTGAATTCTTTTTTTATGGACTGAAGTATTGTATGCATAAGATCCATACCTATACTATAAATGTAACAGTGACTTTCTGTTTGCTTTTTTATGTGTTTGTTTTTTACGATTTCATGGCTAAAGCACTAAAGCGATTTTAAAAATTCTTTTACCGATGTCAAGCTAAATTATCAGCGAGTAACATTGGCGGAGCTGCGGGCAAAAGAGGTAAAAAATAAAAGAAAAGAACAGGATATTAGATGATCATAACGTTATTTAAGGTGACTTTTAATTTGTCAGATCAATTAGTATTAGTCACATTTAAGAATTATGTATATTTATATTTTATAGAGCAATCCAAATGTATTTGGTTCCTTAACCAATATAGAAATACATGTTGATAAATCTGTTGCCATGCCCTGCCCTGAAATTGGTTTTGACGTCGCTGCAGGCGTAATATACCTCGCTACATGGTGGAGATAGACAATTTGTAGTTAAACAACATGAGTTACAATAAATAAAAGCAAAGCAATTTATGCTCAATAAACTGTGCAGTTTGCCAGTATATCTTAATTGTTCTTTAATAATTATTAAATTACTACTCACTTAATACCATTTAAGTTATTTTTTTATAACTCATATTGGCTAGCTTGACCATCCGGCCGAAGTATAAACATAACAGAACAAAAATGCAGACAAGTTTTTATCCCTGAATATAGTGTAAATCGTTATATTTAATATAAATTATCTTATTAAAGAATTCAGGACTATTCGTAGTTTCTGTACATTTCAAGTATTTTATGATATTCTCCTTTACAGTTGAAATATTAAAAGATTTTACAGTTGAAATGCTAAAAGATGGTACCGAGAGATTCTTATAATAACTCTTTACTTTGTGGCCGCTGAACAGAAAGGCGAAATATTGCCCGAGAACATCGTAAAACGATATTTAATCAACATATTTTTCTAAAAATTTTTGCTTAAAGGTCTGTATTTTTTAAATTTTATATTAAGTGTATAGTTGGTATTTTAATATATATTTTTAGTATAATAATATTTTAGGAACGCTATCTGTTTAAACTAAGCAAAGACTGGGAGAGCCATACTTCGGCACATAATGGCCGTTTCGACCGGAGTGATACCACAGCTTTACAAAAATCCAATTCTATCGTGTCTTTGAACCAAGTGAGTGAGGTTCTGGTAACCAGGTAACCTACTCCTTCCCCCAATCTTCTTCCTGGGCATTCAAAGAGCGACAACGATTTAATTCTTCTGAGTAGCAGATGTTGCCATAAAAAAAAGATGGAACTAAAGTTCAACTATTTAACCACATTAAAATATTCGAAAATTGTGGATATATGAACATATATCCGGTCTATCATACGTGCCTAGTGCAAAGTCTAGTATTAGAGATAGTCCTTGCAAAATCCTGGTTACAGTTCGACCTGGTCACTTGACAATAGGTAATAAAAGCCAGCATGATTATTCATAGAAAACTACTTCACTACTTGAATTGTTACCACAACTCTGTCACTTTAATCTCCAGAAGTGACAATATTTTAGGTCAGCCGTCAGTAAATTAAAGTTTCTTATCGAACACTACCATCGAGGCTATTATACCAGATATTCTTTGTCAGTACAGCATAATAAGAAAGCTACCTACTCATTAACAGTTCAAGTCTTATCGGGAAAGGTTTTGCCATCCGATATTAGTGTAATTAAAGTTGATGAATGGCTAAGAAAATTGGTACCAGCCAATCCCTTTATCTAAAGAACTCGAGAGTAAAAAAAAAACTTATGAAATCTTAAAAAGTTTAAATCAATTTTAGAATAAATTTTCGAAATAAGAATTAATTTGAAAGAGGTAAAAGTTTGCATACTTTGGCGTTGTTATAAAAAGCAGTACGGTTTAATCAATACGGTATCGACCTTGCAGCCATAAGGTCACGGGATTGATTACTACCAACTGCACAGGTTATGGGTATAAAGTCAGACATCTAAGTTATTTTAAAAACGTCTTAAGAATACTAGTAATGTAAGAGAAGGCCTTAGAAATCAAAACAAAGAAGACATTCCTTCGAAAGCCACTATTTTTTAAATCGAGAAGTAATAGAAGAAATAAATGGTGCAGAAAAAAGCAGGAGCCACCTGAAAGGAAAGCAAATACTAACATGCCAATACTGTGTCATATTAAATTTGTCTTCTGTAGAATGTACTATTTGCCTAGTCGCATTCCAATACCAATAATTTCATTCCGATTTATCCTACAAGTAAATTTGTGATACGTGTGTGTATGTATGTGTATAGTGTGTATTTGTTTGTGTATAAAATTACGTATGTTGTGTTGTGTAGTGTATATGATAATAGACAATGGTGTTATAACCTATGTGCGCCTACCACTTACGACTTCTACACTACCTAAAGGTTGACTGGAAGAGAATGCCTTGGGCATTAAGTCCGCCGATGTACAAAAGTACATAAAGTCATAAAAAAAAACATATTGGAAGTGTGTAAGAACATATTTATACGCCTCTTGTAAATACTTTGTTGATTGACCTTTTGAGAGGGAGGAGGAAAAGGAGAGAAGGAAGGTTGAGAAAAAGGAGGTGAATTTGTAATACTTTGAACATCAGAATTCCTACAATGGTTAAGTCATATTTTACGAAGGTGATTACCATATTTTGTATTTTCTAAATACTTTAAAATTATTCTGAGCTGAAACTATGTCTATTAATGAAAGTATTTGTTTAAAATCGGTTTAAACTAAGTAAAAATGACAATTGGTACTTGATCCTGTCGGTGAAAATATTACGTTTCATGTTATGGTTGGCATTGCAACAAAATCATCAATGAAGTTTTTCTTCGAGTAGTATCGCGAGATTACTCTTAATCCATCCTATATTAGCTGTGTAGCCGCAGATTCCCAGTTGTACATAGCTATTTTTACTTAGAACTTTGTTTCATTTTCTAAAATAAAAGTAGCCGAAGTATACCATTACCTATCTGCCAGTGAAATTGGGTCATCCGTTCCTGTGATAAACTAGAAAAACTAGATGGATTGTCGGACAAGAAATTATGAAACTGACTTTTATACTTAAGCACTTTAGTAAACTTGCAAATAAATTTAGTAAAATCGTGACCATTTAAAAAACACTGCAATTTTATATTCTATATAGATAAGCTGTTCTGGAGAGGTTTCAGCGTCTTTAAGGTTCTCTGACAAAGTGGGTTACACAAAAAAAGAGACAGGAAGAGAGCTTACCAGTTCCCCATTAGTAGTCAGAATGTTTGGAAAGCTGTTATTAAAGAAGTACAAATCAGTGATGTTGGTACTATTGGTGATCATATATTCGCCATGGCACTCCTGGTATTCACCCGTTGCAAGGCACGGGCGCTGTCTCATCTTCAACATTTTCCTGCAGGCAAAAAAATAAATATTTCTATTAAATGGATAAAAGAAAATGGCTAGGGATGTACGAGTATAGGGTTGCTCGGTAATATCAAGTTACAGAAATGATTACTTGTTTATTGAACAAAAGAATCTGTGTTTCCTTTTATAATAATAATCTTTAATTTAGATCACGTGCGTAACAAAACGTAATGTTGGTTTAGGTAAACTTAAAAGTTATTCGTACACAAGTGTGTACAAAAGTGTACTTAAATCTGAATTCCAACCTCTAACCAACTTTGCAACTATAAATAAGATAGTATATCACTGGATGTATAAATGTGTGGTTAAGTCTAGATTTATAATTTATTACTAGCGATCCGCCTCGGCTTCTCATGGGTGCCATATATATGCTACTAATGTGATGTCAGTGAAGAGTAATTAATTATACTACTATTATGAAAAGACTATTTTCTTACTAGACTATACTACAGGACGTCTTTATATACTGCACGGATGACGTAGTGGTTTAAGCAGACGCTGAGTGTTGTGGGTCCGTTCCCACATGGGACGACACTTTGTGTGATCCACAAATTGTTATTCTGAGTCTGGGTATTCTTTGTGTCCGTTCATGTATGTTTGTAAAGTTCCCCGCGACACAGGACATATTCCTAATGCGGGAGTTTTTTTTTTGTTTTAGATAAAAGGTATAGAAAGATATACAATATTTCTAGGCCCGCAACACTTCTGCCTGTCGTTGCCACCCGGGACGGACGTGCGGCCCGATGGCCGCTGATATTGATATGCTGTTAAAGGGCATTTTGATCTACATTAAATTCACAACGTATGTAATTGGATAAGAAATAATAATGTATTGTTCAAAATTTCTTCGTAAATAATCCATTTTGAAGTGAAACTTCTTTAGAATCGTTGTGATTTGAAACTCGATGAAACGAAAATGCGTCACGATAAAGAAACAAACACATAAGTATGATTAAGTCGGCGAGAGAATGAGATAGAATACACTACACATTATTTTTAATATTATATTTTGTAAGAGTACAAGGACAAAAAGCGACTTCATTATGTATTATGTAAAGAAGATTAACATTGACCTAAAACTCTACTAATTCTTACATCAATGTCTGCTGCTGTCTAGTCTTTAATAAACAGACGTTTATTTAAGACTAGCGACTCGACTTGGATTCGTCCGTATGTAAGTACATATTATTTTTACTACTGCATGTTCTTTATTATTTTTTCCGCAAGATGATTGCGAAATGCGTTTTTCTTTCGTTTAAATCAAAATCCCCTATTCATCCCGCGGGTGTCGTAAGAGACGACTAAGGGAGAAAACTACGCAGGACAACAGCACTGCAAAGAGAAGGAAAACTTGACACAAACCCTTTTTTTTTTTTTTTTTTTTTTTTAACGTGTTTTAATCCCCTCGGACCGTCACCCCTCCGGGGTTTGCGGCGGGGTGGTGTGTCGGACTCGGACACAAACCCTATACCAACCCGTCTAGCCAGCGTGGTATAGTAAGCCAAAACCTCCTTTCTAAGGAGAGGCCTATGTCCAGCAGTGGACTATTAGAGGCTGTTGATGATAATGATGATGAAATCAAAATCATAATTAGATTTTACTATAAATATAAACTTTCCTCGAACAATACCTAACCGATGGTAAACCGCATCAAAATACGTTTCGTGATTACAAGGAGTTAGCGACTTTCTTTTATACTGTGTAATAAAAAAAGATACGGTTACGACGAATGGCGAGAGTGTAGGTAAGGTTACGGTGTCACCTAATAAAACAAATATAATGAAAGTATGATACGTGAAGGTCTCTCTCTAATATTGGGTCACAAAAAGGATAAACTTGATTTGGCATAGACTCCACAGTATAGTTAAAGAGAATGCTTAAACTGAGTACTGAGTAGTTCGAATTTTGAACAATCCTGCATCGTGCTATGAATGTTCTCCCCCACATTATGGTAATGACTTTATGCATATAAGTATAAAATGTGAAACCTTCTTTCCAAGGAGTAGTCTATGTTTAGCAGTGGACTATTAAAGGCTGTTGACGATGAAGTAAAGTGTGTAAATAAGGAACTATAACATCTGATTTGGACATGTTCTTTCCATGGCTTTTCATAAATAAGGAACCGACCTAGTTTAATTTTGCTGTGCCATGCATATACTCTACCGATGATCACTTGTACAGTATATTTCATATAGGTTAAGCGAATGTGAAGATCATATCACAAATTGAAATGAAATGATATTTATTTCTGTAAGTAAATCTTTTCAGATATTTTTACATGTCGGACTTTACAACTAGATGGATCCGGCATTTCCTAAGACTCACTCTGGGAAGAAACGCCGAAACAAACCACAGAGGTGTTTTTTTTTTTCAAGAATATTTGAATATGTCTGTAAAAAGTCTTAAAAGTTTGGAATATAAATAAATATGATTTTTATAGTATATCAGAAACTTAATTGAATAAATTTAAACTTTGTGTCAATTAATAAGTAAAAATATTTTATTTTGTCGCCACCCTTAAAAGTTTTCGTCAATCAAAGACAAATTTGTATCGTATAAATAAAATTTACTTTCGAAAGTGAAATTTAACGAGGAAAATACTTTTAAGTTACTGATAGAACAATTTGTGCCAATTTTGAAAGCGCTTCTCTTCTTAATTTATGTACAGTAGGTATATTTTTATAAATATTTATTTAACTTTAATATCTAAATTTATAAACGGAAATTAGCATTTTCTAATTACCTTTTACATAAACTCAACAAACCTAACTAACCAACTACTTTCTAAGAGTATTCTTTCTGTATCTTAATCAAGACAAAATCTTAATTTAAGACTATACCATAAAGTCAAATGCTACGAGTATTATGCTTCTATAATCTATATTAAAACATGGCGGAATTACCTAATCAATAGTACACCTACTTATTTACAGTATACGAATATAAAGTATACATGTACGTAGGTATGTATATTCAAGTCTGTATGTATGTAGTTGTATATGATAGTTCAATCTTTAGAACTAATATTATAACTGTAACCTCAGGGCACCTAATTTACCAGAATTCTACACAACCCAAAGGTTGACTGGTACAGAATGCCCAGGGCATTAAGTCCGCGAATGGACGCAAGTACACAAACTTGTAAATAAATAAGTAAAATACAATCACCACGATAATGCATGCTCCCATTCCACTAAGGTAACAGAAGCCTATTTGAAGGCAAATTTGGAACTGATGACTCATCCGCCTCACAGCCCAGACTTCGCAATCTGCGACTTTTATTGTTTTCAAAAATTAAAGACGAACTTAGAGGCACACTTTTACGAGCCCTGAATCTACGGTGAATGCGTTCCATGAAGTTATTGAAGAGGTCCCTAAGACTCCCAACATCAACAACAACAACAAGGTCCAACTGCTTTGTACAGTGGTTTCAGCGAATGCAAAAATGCATTAATTGCGAGGGAATATGCTTTTTTGTAAAACAATAAATGTATCGTAAGTCTTATATCTAGTCTTATTTATCAGAATCCAGAAACTTTGAATATGCCCTAAGTATAACACCATATTCATTATATCCACCATATTCATTGTATGCACATATGGCGTAGTATTTTAAGTGTTTTAAGCGGTCGTCACGCCGTTTACTACTACGCTGAGTGTTGTGGGTTCAATCTCCGTATGGGACGACACTTTGTGTGATCCCCAAATTGTTGTTCAGAGTCTGGGTGTTCTTTGTGTCCGTTTCATGTATGTTTATAAAGTCTCTTGCGACACAAGATATATTCCTAATGTATTTTTAAAAGAAGAGAAGAGAAACCTATGTTTTACAAACAAATAATTGTCATTTGATTGGCGATTGTTAAAGGCTTCGGCATTTGCCTTAAAGAAAAAAAAACAATGAATATAATCGCGTTTGACACACGCAGTTAATAGCTGGTCGTATTGTTATGCGTAAATATTTAATATGCATTATTTATCATTTGGTTTGAGATATGAATCCTGGACTAAACGTTTGGAAGTACTGATGAAGAATTAGAGTAACACATTTTATTTAGTTTATTTTAGAAAGGATTACAGATAGTTGAGATGGATATGATAATAAATCATTTTAACAGTAAATTCATTTCATTTTCAATCAAGATGTCAAAAATAATGGTTTTCAAAAAGTTAGAATTAAAAAAACAGCCCAGTGTATGGTGGTAACCGCTTTTTGCCATCTTCTTGATTGTGAATTGTATCGTATAAAAAATGTCATCATCATCAACAGCCTTTAATAGTCCACTGCTGGACATAAGCCTCTCCTTAGAAAATGTACTCCTATCCAAGCAACTATATTTTACTTGTACACTTAAATCTCTCAAACCTGGCAATAGAAAATTCACTCTAAAATTCTGTTTTTATGTTCTTTTTTCTGTGACCTACGGTGACTGTTAGCCTTTTATATAATTCATATAAAGTTGAATTTAGTGTAGTACCCACAAACACATATGTGAGATCATAAAATCAACGATTCTGCGCATGTAACGGCACATGGCGGCACTGTTAGCTTTTTATTGGGATCATGGTACTATAGGGTATCGCGGCGTCTGTTATTACAAGCTGTTGAGATTAAAATATATATTAGAGATGCCACGAACAGTGATTGGCCGAATAATGAATATTCTATTTTTAACTATTTTGTTTGTAATTATCTATCTATATATATAAGAGATTTCCACGTAAATAGTCACTCATCACGATATCTCTGGAACCATTAGAGCTAATGACTTGAAATTTGGTAGGAATATTCTTTTCACCGAGTAGAGGTCAGCTAAGAACGGATTTTAAGAAATTCAAAAAAAATCTGTATAAATAAGAAGAAAAGTGTAAAGACTCAATGCCTGTAGACCTGTAGTTTTGTTTCCGAAAAGGTGATTTTGGACTCTTTGCGGCATGTTTCAGGATGCTCTACAATCATTCGGTTTTAACATAATAATGATAATTGGAGTGAGGGACCCCAGGTAGGAACGAAGTTCCTTTCGCTTTTTGGTAGATATTTACTATAATACATATATATATATATATGAAAAAGATGTGAGCGTCGATGCGCCAACTGAAGTGTCGGAAAAAAGTATTGTTACACATTTTTTTTTTGCGTCTGGCTCCCACCAGAGTGTGTAACGCGGAAGAAACTTCGTTTTAATATTTCGGACATCAGCAGAGATTGTGTAATGACAGCTAGAGTGACTGATAGAATACCTAGATGTTTTTTTTTTTTTAAATACATGCATATTATACATAACAAGAAGACACCCACACTCCATTTGGTCGGACTCGGGAATCATACCCGAGACGTCAACACAGCCGTCGCATACGCTACCACTGCTCCACCGAGACAGTCAAAATAAGTACAATAAATATCTAGATAATGTAGTAAAATAATAATTAAGTAATATATTCTAAGGTATATTTTTTTCAGGTGATAATTTCAGACATAATCAGAATGTTTGGATACTTACCATTGTATTATAAAGCTGGTGCCGATCGTATAGATTGGTGTAGACCGGTTGACATCCAGGCTGGTCTCCGTGGAGTTCATTTTTAAATCTTGTCTTATTATGCTACACTATTATTGTCTTGCTTGAGTTGGGTCCCGGGTGACAAGCCTTAGCTGTGCATCTGAAACAAAACTGCACTTAAAACAACTGGTAATAAAAATAATTATTTATAAATAAAACTCCCGCATTAGGAATCTATCCTGTGTCGCGGGGAACTTTACAAACATACATGAAACGGACACAAAGAACACCCAGACTCTGAACAACAATTTGTAGATCACACAAAGTGTCGTCCCATGTGGGGATCGGACCCACAACACTCGGCGTAGTAGGAAGCGGCGTGGCGACCGCTTAAACCACTACGCCATCTATGCAGTGCGGTGCAGTTTAAAAAAATACTAGACTAGAAATTATATCTAAAGCTGAATTAAATTGGTTGTTCTATCACCTCTACAAAAAATAGTAGTTTGGTACAGAAAGGTTGTATACTCCTGTCAATGTGTAGGCGTTTTATGAGCATCGGGTGAGTTAAATCTTGTAAAAAAAAACAAAAAATTTGGACTTAAAATGTTACTTAGCGTTAAAATCCGTAGAGAACGGTGGAATGATATAATATATTCTTGGATATAACTCAAGGAGCCTAAACTACGAGAAAAGAGAAGGGTTTTACCAAAGATTAAGTTGTAAATAATTATAGTGAGCGGGCTTTTAGTTGTAAACCAACAAAATGAAAGCTTTATTGATAAACCAAATGAAACTTAAAGGATAGTTCCACCAAACATCACCAGACCTTCACTTGAAGAAAGTCTCTTAGAAACATCAAATCGAATCATATTTATATATAAGAATTCCACTATCTACGTCTTCCTAACTATCATCAGAACGATGGAATAATAAGACTAGAAAGTATAAACTTAGAGGACTATAACTTGGCATTTCATATCTTACTCTCGTCTGTCTGTCTTCCGAACCACATAAACATACAAATCTTTTACATAAGACAATTATAAGTCAATTAAAATTGGTTTCCAATATTGGTTTATATAGTTCATTATTTAGTTAAAATTGAAGTTATTAAAATCCTGTAGTTCGTGTTTTATTTATTTTAACTATCGGGCATCTTGGTCTAGTAGTTAGATTAGATTCCAACCTAGGATAAATATTGTATGATGAGTACGATCAATTGTTTAGTGTCTGGATGTAATTTATCTATAATATGTATATATTTAGAAATGTTAAGTATGTTTATCAGCAGTCTGATTACCACAGCAAATGCTCTGCCTAGTTTAGAATCAGACGGCCGTGTGTGAGATGTGTAAAGATATTATTATTTCTTTAAGAAAAACACAACTCCTACATTAGGAATATATATTATTCTGTTTCTCGGGGGACTTTACAAACATACATGAAATGGTCACAAAGAATATCCAGACTCATAACAACAATTTGATGATCACACAAAGTGTCGTCCCATGTGGGCATCTACTACACCGTCCGTGCAGTCTTCATCATACATACATACATACATACATCATCATACATCACATCATCATCATCATCAACAGCCTTTACTAGTCCACTGCTGGACATAGGCCTCTCCTTAGGAAGGTGGTTTTGGCCTACTATACCACGCTGGCCAGACGGGTTGGTATAGGGTTTGTTTCAAGTTTTCCTTCTCTCTGCAGTGCTGTTGTCCTGCGTAGTTTGCTTCCTTAGTCGCCTCTTACGACACCCACGGGATGAATAGGGGTGGTTACACTCTGTATTCTTAATCCGTCACCACACGGTACGGTATACATCACATAGGTACCTATTTATTTTCGATAAGGAAATAAGAATCAAATCTAAACTAAAGCGTAAAATCGTATTTTATTACAAACTAGATACCAATATGTCTACCGGTTGGTGCCAATCTAGTCTACCCATGCAGGCAGTTAGCGCAGACCACAGAATATTGAATAAACTGTTGTGCGGACGAGGCAGTCTCTATTGAGTTTCCATACCTCATGACCAATCAGCGTTGATAAGCGCTGACAAGCACAGCTCGATTCCCACCGGTAGTCATGTGTCACGGCATGCATCAACCGTGCGTTGTCGCAGTTTAGTTAGAATTGTATATTCGTTGAAAATGGACAAGAAAACAATTTTTTTTGTAAGTTTTTTTTAAATAAACTGCATTGAGTATGAAAAAAAAAACAGTCTTACAAAACAAAATCTTTTAATATTTGAAAAATAGTTACACGGACTTTTATATAAATAATTGAATATTTTTACTGACTGGGAGAGCCATGTTCCAGCACAAATAAGCCTGCTCAACTCCTCACAGAAGTCCGGCCTCACAGAAAACTGGTACTACCTAATAGTTTCATTGTTTTTATCGAGTGAGAGAAATTACATGAACCCAAAACCCAAAAAATAAATCGTTGACGTGATAAAAAAGTGCGAAACAATGTTTTCAAAGCGTATGTGTCTTCACCACCGAGAGCGCGCTTGTAATCAAAACGCAGATCAGCATATGAATGACTTGAACAAATTATACATTTGAACACTGCTTTAAAAAAATTGACTGCACGGATGACTTAGTGGTTTAAGTGGTCGCCTCGCCGCTCCCTACTGGGTAGAGTGTTGTGGGTTCGATCTTTACATGGGACAATGTTCTGAGTCTGAGTGTCCTTTGTGTCCGTTGGCTGCATGTTTGTAAGGTCTTCCGAAGGATTTAATCCTAGTGCGGCAGTTGTCTTTAATTTTTTTTTATCTCAATTATCATTTATTATTGCATAACAACGAGGTCGATAAACTAATAAAATATTTAACTGAATACCTCTGATGACCTTACCTACCTACTTTCAACCTAACTACATTCCAAGAAAATAAACATAACGATCTATTATTAAATCTACACATTTGAAGCATTGATAAACAAATAAACATTTACAAAATACATTTTAACTTTAAATATCAAAATATTCCCGCCCTCATCATGCGAAAACATACTTAGATAATACGACCTATTTACAAGATAAACAGTACATTGAATAGCTATTATGTACCTAACTCAATGTCGTTCTATTCAAATCTCACCGTGGTAGATAAGGCGCATGCCAAACCGGCGCCCGTCCACCGGCGGCCCGGAACGCTGGCGTCTTCCTCCATGCGATCACAGCCTTATGTCATCTGAAAAGGAAACGGTTTGTATGATCGCTGGACTGTGTTCCATCTATTCGTATTTCATTTTAATGAGTTTGAAATCTAAACATAAAAGGGATTTAATAGATTATTAAACCTTTTTATATGTATAGTAAACATTCTGACTCGGCCGCTAATGTCCTGTCTTAATAGTCTTTCCAGTCACAGAAGAAGCATATGGATACCCGATCCCAGGCTTTTCGAGCCCTGCAGTCTTGGTCAATCCAAGATTGGTCGGTATCCTTCACTCTATTCCTTTTCCTAATTCACCAAGATGATGATGATGATTATTATGATGTACCATCATGATAAGCCAAGTGAGCATAAGCAAGTGATAAGACAAGTTCACAGGACTCTACATCAAAAGACTAAGAAGAAGTCTGTAGAGTTTTTATTGTATTGTATATCCGCATTTCTGTATATACCGACTTTTATCTTAGTGACAACATCCATATGCAATGAAATAAACTACTTTAAATAAAACAAATGTAAGACAGATGTGACGAGAAGAGATTAACCCTGCATCACGCAATGAAAATCTGGCCTCGATTGGTATATATTACTTCAACGTCAACTTTTTGTCTAAGTCGGAAAGATGAGCATCTAGCATGGTCAGAAGATCCTCTCCTTGTATTGTAGAGATAAAAGACTCGTTGCTCCACATCATGACAAATAAAGAGTACTTGAAGATCGATCAGCCATGCTTATGAAGTCATGAGTAATTATATCTCACTTATATGTATTAGATTTTCTTATTCCTCACGGGTTCAAATTACCAGTTTGTATAAAAGATCTGGTATAGTAGGCCAAAACCTTCTTTCTAAGGAAAGGCCTATGTCCAGCAGTGGACTATTAAAGGCTGTTGATGTGATGATAAAAGATCTGTTATAATTACAGTGGTTACAAAATCTTATTTACATAATCTAACTAAGATTATTTCGTATTTGTGAATCTACGAATTTTGAAGTTGTGAATTTAATTTTCCGATACAACATTCCGTCAAACCTAAAGATTGTGGTCAGTCAAATATTCTTTTGTTTTAAATTAAATAATAATTTTCAAATTACAAGCAACCGGCTACTGTATAAGTCTACTGATGCGTTTTATACTGTGACCAGATTTTTATGTAAAGCCATGGATGTATGTAAATTGCGTACATAAGCATGCGCACTCATTAGTTCAGTGAGTGGTTCGCTCGGTTAGATATTTACAACCTCAAGGATTGGGTAAAGATAAAATTTTCTCATAAATGTGTTCTCGTGTTATAATAATTAAATATTTTAAATAATCGACTGAAAAAAAAGGAATTTTCAGATCGCCGTTAGCTCGACCGATTGTTTCGAAAGGTAGGCTTCCTAGTTCGTTCCATTATAATTAGTTGTAAAGACAGAACATTTGAGAAATCGTATTTTTTTGCAAATAATAAAAGAATATATGTAGCGATTTGTATTTGAGATATATTTGGAATAATTTAACGTGTTCAAGCGTGTTTAACGTGTACTAGTCACAATAAACAGGGTTACTGGTTAAGTCGACCTAGATACTTTAAGGGGTTATAATGGCCATCATTCCTGATAGATTTCACTATCACATACCATATCTTAAACTAAACCATTTTTAAGGTATTGGACTTTTAAGATTTTTTATAAAAATTGCTGAAATTTTGTCTAATACAATTTTTTAGAACTTATTTAATTTTATTTTTCAATTTTTACAGATATTTTTTTGTGCAGTTTTGTGTAGTTTTACATTGCTTTATAATTTTCTTTACCAAAACTGTAGTTAACTTAACAAACTGGGCCGAAGTAGGTGGTTAATAATAGCAAAAAGAAATAAATTTGTAATTTTTTTATCT